AATAAATTTTATCACGGAAAGTTAAGTGTTTTCTTATTAGGCTAGTTACTTATCATCCCGCCCTCGTAGCTTATTTATGTTATCTGAAGTATTACGCCCTTTAAAGTATATTAAGGTTAAATCCACATTCTTGCCGGTTTTCTTTCGCTCCTTTTTTGATTTTTAGTTGCAGCACGTGTGGGAGACATATGGTGGCATACATGTGACAGAGATTTACATTTTCTAGCCATATTACGCAGCAAAGTATTGTTGCTATGACTGGGCATTGTATGTAAATATTGCAGCAATATATTGCAATGAAAAATGTTGTCGGTTCATCATCATCAATATAATCATTACAGCCCTTCACAAGTCCACTGCTGAACATATGCCTCTATATGGGACTTACGCAACTTGAAACTGCTCGTATTGAAGAAGCGATGGAGCTGAACCAGGGCTTCAAAGTCTTTTCTAGAGATCTGCTGCCGGAAAGAGCCAACTGTCGAAGCTGAAGACCGAGTGTGCCAATGTCGTTTCCGGGACACCTGAGATTTTGAGTGAGATTAAGAGGTTCTATGGGCAGCTGTACACATCATTGTTGAAGCCATACGCAAGTGTGAGTAACGATCTAAGAGCAAGTCTTATCTGACACTATTCCGATGATATTCCGGACGTCAGTCGGAGCGAATTTAGAATGACTCTCCAGTACCTTTGAAATGACAAGGCCCCAGGCGAGGATGGAATTAAACAACAACGAAGCTTCTGAAAGCGGGTGGAAAACCGGTACTTGAAATCTTTCAGAAGCTCTGTAATTCCGTCCTTAATGGTAGCACTACACCAGAGGTGTGGAGAAAAAGTGCGGTGGTCTTGTTCTTCAAGAAAGGCAAATATCTTGCACTGCTGTGTTTCGTTCTGAAAGGTACAGAGAACCAGTATCAGTATCGACTGTGAGGCATTTCATCATAGTACTCAGATTAACTTTAAACAAAAAGGGAGGCCACAGATGCTACAAGCCACAGACCTCTGAGAACTTAGATGGAATACCCTACAGCCTGTAACTATACTGGCTCTGTATACCCTTCAGACCAGAACGCAGAAGGTGATACCTACTCAGACATACTCTTAGGCAGAAAAAGAGCTTAACCACGTCTCCACCTCTCAATTATATTTATTTAAAGAATAGTCCCTAAACATAATGCCATAAGGAATTAAGGTGTGTTACAGAAAATAATAAATAAATATAACTTACTTATGCAAATCGATTTAAAGAAATAAATAGGCTTGCTTTTTCATTGTATCTGCGGTTTACGCGCTATTCGCTTTCACCTCCGCATTCATATTTCAGTTTACACAAAGTAGGTACGCTTTTGTTGATCTTAATACTGTAGGATTTAAGCTTAGGAGGATTACCTGCTTACAGCTTTCTTTGAAATTCCATTTCCTCCCTATAAATAATAAATTTTTCATGATACTTGAATTGTTTCTGATGAATGTTTATGATTTGTGTATTTGTGTTGATTAAAAACTTTAAACGGTTTACTTTACGATATTGTATTACCTAGCTGTTTTAATATAAGTTTTTATTTCAAACTATATCATCAGTCGTGGGCACAAACGTGACGTAGTAAGCCTTTCGGTGTTCTTTTTTTGTATTTGTTTGGATTGAAAACATAAGAAACAGTAATAAATGTTTGATTACATTACAGTAATATAAATTTTACATTTTAGCGAGATAAGTAGTCTATACAAATAAGTCCACAACACTGACAGTTAAAATGTTTAATTTAATACACAAGCAGGAGATATACAATTTAGCACAAACAAGCAGAAGATACACAAGCCAAGATAAAGCGTTAATAACAAAACTATAGTCTAGAAAAAGCACAATCAATATTCACTGTAATATTTAAAAGTCTATGGCGAGAACAAAGGAATTGCGCTAGCGAGCAACATGCGTTCCGCGTCGTATCGGTAGATCGACTGGTGAACGCGGTGCGCGGACGCAGGCGATTGTTTTTAAACAGCTGTGCTAACGGGATTCCGGGCGACGCATTCAACGCCCGGCTGTTGCTACGTGCATTTTTGTTGAGAGTATATAGTGGCGTGTAAAAGTATATATATTATGTTGACTGCGAGAAATATGTGCGTATGTATCTGTGTAGTTAAATGCGATCTATAACCTATATCTATTTTGATGTCATTTTATAGGTCTCATCAGCGGCTAGATTTCTCCGCTTGTTCCAGATTTTTTCACTTAGAAACCACTGAACTGTAGCATAAAAACCGGAAAACCACGTGGCCACGAAAACGCAAACTAGAGGTCTGTACTTATTTTTGCTCATGCAATAAGGTGTAAGACCATTTTCTGAGTACAACAAATATTCTTGCAGACAAATCGGACAAATAACCAAGTAGTTGTAGCTAATAAACCAAAACTTTTAACTTTGTGTCAAGTTGGAGGAGGCTTATCTCGTAATTTTGAGTGATAACCACATCTTTTATATAGTCAATTCGACTACAAATATATTCGTCTTTACTTTTACAAAAAATTAGATTTTTTCAACAAGCGGTTTGGTTAGAAATGTTTTTTATCTAAAAAACCATTTTCACGTGCTCCAGGTTCCGGGCTCGTGCGGGTGGTTTTGAGGAGGTTATTAAATAGGTTAATAAAAACTCTACAAATAACCGTTTACAGAATTGAATTATATTTAAAACTCTTTTATTTACAGAATTTTGAACATTTTTTCCAAATTAAATCGAAAATATTAATAATTTTCAAAAATACAGTTTTTATTCATAATACCCTTCACGCGAGCTATCAATAGAGCCCAAACTCAACTAATTTATCCCTTCCCGTCTCTGAGTTAGAAAAATTAAGTATAAACAGCCGCCATTTTGAAAATACATTAATTCAAATATCTTACGTAACAGACGTGCAAAATCGGTCGTGTTTGGCCTTATTTTAATCAGGATAGCTTTACGAACCCGAATTTCAGGTTACCTTGCAAGAAAAAGATTGAAGGGCCTGGACCTTAAAAACGTAAAGTCTCAACTGTCTGCTACAGATTGAGCCCAAACTCGGACCATTTGGGGCAAGGAACAGCGGAGCAACACTTAAAACAAAATTTAAGGCCGCCATATTGGAAATTTTTGCTCGCTTATTACTCAGGATCTGATTGTCCGATCAGAGTCGTGTTTGGGCTTAAACTCTTTGGCTAGAACTGAAGAGACCGAATTTGATCAAATCCTCAATAAAAAGTTTGAAAGTTTTGAACACCGGAAACGTGAACTTACAACTGCCTGCTACAGATTGAGCCCAAACTCGGACCATTTGGAGCAAGTAACAGTGGAGCAACACTTAAAATAAACTTTGGGACCGCCATATTGGAAATTTTTGCTCGTTAAGAACTCAGGAGTTGATTGTCCGATCAGAGTCGTGTTTGGACTTATACTCTTTGCCGAGACCTAAAGAGTCGGAATACGATCAAATTTTCAATAAAAAAAAAAAATAAGAAAAAAAATTAAAGTTTTGGACATCGAAAACGATTTGAACTCACAACTGATCTGCATGGATAGAGCCTGAACCCGGACGATTAATAGTAAGCAACAGCTAAGCAGCACACAAAATAAACTTTAAGATCGCCTTATTGTAATTTTTGCTCGCTTATAACTCAGGACCTAATAGTCCGATCAGAGTCGTGTTTGGACTTAAACTCTTTGTTTTTAATTGAGGGGTTCAGATCTATTCAAATTTACAAAAAAAAAACATGTCATGCAAAAGTGGATCGTCTGGTACGAGCTCGGCGAAATCGAAATATTCAAAAACAGGTAGGGGTGTGAGCCCAACACCTAGTGTTGCACTACGTAAGAAAGTATTAATTCAAAATGCAGCTACTTCTGGAAGAGCGGCTGAGGAAGAGCTAGACAATAAAGGTCCTGGAATTGGTGAGCCAGGGTATGGTTCGGACAGCATCGCTCCATCTAAATGTAGCTATGTGGAAATTGATGACATTGTCAAGCCAACAGTACCAACGCCACAGGACTTAGATTCAGAAGGTGGCAGTTCAATAACGATGGACATTGACAAAGAATTGAGCGCGTTGGGCCTCTGCAAGCGGGTCAGGGAAACCGAAGATGAGTGGTCTGACGGCGATAGTGTAGTCAGTGACAAGAGCAAAAGATCAAGCATACTGCCACCAGCATACAGGAGAGCAGGCATCTCAATGGACTTGGCAACTCAAAGAGCGAATGAATTCCTGCTCTCCGGTAAAGAAGCTCTAGAGAAAGCAGGAAATATGAAGAAGGAGTGTAAGAGCGAGGTACATGACTGTCTTCAAGGCTTGTATGAGACTGTGCTGTCGCTGTCTGACTCACGCTCTAGACACCGGCTTGCGGTGGAACAAGAAAGATCTCGGGCTGCTAAGGAGCTAGTACGAATCGAACGGGCCCATAACAAACAATTGACTGAAATCCAAAATTTACAATTTAGTAAAGTCGTGGAGGCCTATGAGGCTATTAAAAGCACAGGTAAGGGCGTTGAGGCGATACGAACTTGGCTGTGCTACGAGATGGACGAACCAATAAAGGCGATAAGTAAAATTCAATTGGAGGTTCACGGATTGATTACCAAAACGCAGTCAACAACAATAAGTGAAAAACCTTCTGCCCACTCTGAAAAATGCACAGAAAATTTCACATTACTCCTATCGAAAATAGCAGAATTAAATCGGAATATTACTAACCTTAGTCAAGAGGTAGAGAAAATAACAAATAGAAATACAGACATGGAGATCAAAATACCGACCCCAGAGCATATCATTTCACAGCCAGATCCAAGATTGGAACAGATAATTGCACATATCCAAGAGACTAAATAAATTATACAAACTTATAAATCCACAAATACACCTAAGGAAGAGACACAAAAAGAAGATATAGAAAACATAATCCAACCTGTCACGAGTTTGATAAAAAATGTATTAAATGAAATAAGCGATCTAAAGGACTGTAATACAACACAAATGGCATTCCAAGGGAATACTGGACTTGGAACTGAACTCGCGATTACAGAAATTAAAGATAAGATTAATGAATTACAAAATATCCACAAGTTCAATATTCCTACAGTAGAAGCAAACAATCAAACAATTCAGACTGAGCCAGCGAGGAGACCTACCCAAAGTAATACAAAATCCAATGCAGAAGTTACTAGTACTCCTCGTTATGCTATGATTGTTGAATCCATTGATCCACGCTCGACATGTGAAGACATTTTAAAACAAGTAAAAAAGGATGTTGATCCTGTGGAACTGGGAATACGAGTAAACAAAATAGCCAAACTAAAAAATCAGCGAGTGGTGATCAACTGTGATTCCCAACAGGACAGACATCTTTTAAAAACAGCCATCCGAGATACCTGTGACAGATTAACAGTATCGACGCCAGCAACCAAAAATCCCCAATTGCGACTGGTAGGTGTCATAAATGACCTTGATGATGTGAAACTTGCCAAAGCAATTACAAGTCAAAATCGTAGCTTAATAGAAGGATTAACAGAGGACCAAAAAGCCGTTAAGGTCATACGTAGGGCTAAGGGAAGAACTAGAGAAGTGATTAATGTCATACTTGAGGTTTCACCTCAAATATGGAACAACTTGAAAAACCAAAAGTTGCGAATAGGCTATCAAGTTGTCTCATGTGCTGACCAATCACCATTGACACAATGTTACAAGTGTCTGAGCTTTAACCACAAAGCTAAAGATTGTCGCAATAGTCTTTGTTGTGGATACTGTGCTGAGGGGCATGACACAAGAGAATGCCAAAACCGAAACAGTGTTCCCAAATGTTGCAATTGCATAAAAGCAAAACGAAATGATATTTTGCACCCAGCATACAGTCCAGAATGCCAAGAATGGCAGAAATGGGACAGTATTGCAAGATCGTCTGTTTCATGCTGCTAAGAGACAGACAACGACAGCGCAAACTTAAAGAATAAGAGTCCCTCTGACTCAAAGAAAATCATAAAAGTAATGCAAGTCAACCTGGATCGCGGACGCGTGGCGACACTTGAGTGCCTACGTGCAGCTGCGATGCAGGGTTATGCAATTATTTTAATGCAAGAACCATATGTTGGTGTTAAAGCTCATCTATCAGCGGGTTCCCAATACCGCATTATTCAAAAGGTAACAAATGACAGAAATAAACCAGTTAGGTCGGCAATTGTTATCTGTGATCCAAAAATTCAATTCACTGTAAATCCTAATCTTCTTTCTGAAGACATAGTTGGTGTTGAACTTAAGATTAATTATTCTAATATAGGCTTAATTAGTATGTATCTCCACGAAAATGCAGACCTTGAAGAAGATCTACAGACAATTAAAAACTACGTAGCAAATATGAACACCGATGACATCATTATTGGAGGGGATTCCAACGCACGTAGCATCTGGTGGGGTTGCAATGCCGACAACAACAGAGGAAAAACTATCATGGAAACGTTAGCTGAGCTAAACTTAGACATCTTAAATTTGGGTACAAAACCAACTTTCGTTGCTCATAGATTAGGAAAATTATGCACTAGCATAATTGATGTCACAGCCTGCTCGTCATCATTACTACACCGAATAAAAGACTGGAGAGTAGATGACCAGCTCTGCACAATCTCAAACCATAAAGCAATATTATTTAACTTACACACAGGAAACATTAAAACTGAAATTATCACTAGAGGCACAAAAATATATAATACTAAAAAAGCGAATTGGGAAAAACTAAAGAACGATTTAAAAGCCGAACTGCAAAAACAAAATATTGTAAAAAATAAAATTGAAGAAATCAAATCACATCAAGAGCTAGAAGATATTACTAACAAATACACACAATGTATACTGGCAGCTTGCAATAACAGCATACCTCTTATTAAGCAGGAACGGAAAACAAAAATAGCTCCTTGGTGGAACAACGAAATACAAGAAAAAAAGGTAATCATGATCAGGAAAAGACGAAGGATAAAAAACGCACACCCTGGGAGAAGAAAACATGTAGTAGAACTATATTTGGAAGCGAGACGCGACTATATAAACGCTATTGAAAACGCCACAACTATAAGCTGGGTGAATCTTTGCAATAAAGAGGAAAAGGAATCTATGTGGCAAAGAACATACCGAATCTTAAAAATATGCTCAAATAGAGAAGAGGACAAACTGCTTCGGAACTCCAGTGGCCGAATTCTTTCAGAGATAGAATCAGCTGAATACCTTGCTAATACGTTTTATCCAGAGGACAACCCGGACATGGACAATGAAGAGCAGGCCGAGATGAGAAATAACACGCAAAATATTATAAACAAAATCAATAACGAACATATCCCTACCCCAAATTTATTCACTCAAAATGAAATTGAACAAATTCTTAGGAACATAAACCCAAAGAAAGCTCCTGGAGCAGATGGACTAACATCGGACATTTGCCAAGCTGCGTTTGAGAGCAACCCTGAAGTACTCCAATCTATTTATAATAAATGCCTGATAATAGGTCATTTTCCAAAATTATGGAAAAATGCTACTATAAAGATTATTCCCAAACCAAATAAAGAGGACTACACTCAACCGAAGGCATACAGACCAATTGGCCTATTACCTGTGTTGGGTAAAATACTAGAAAAATTATTTATCAACCGGGTCCAGTGGCAGCTAGGAAAAGAGAATAAAATGAACCACAGACAGTACGGCTTCACACCCCAAAAAAGTACCGAAGATGCCCTATATGACACTATGGCGCTAATAAAAAAAGGACTAAAAGAGAAATCCATTGTTGTACTGGTGTCGTTGGATATAGAAGGCGCGTTTGACAATGCCTGGTGGCCAGCCATTATCAATGAGCTTCACTCCAAAAATGTTGACGCGTCTATGTTAAGGCTCATAAATAGCTACTTGTCGGAAAGAGAAATACACCTCAAGTACGCTGGACAAGAAATTAAGAAACCGACAAATAGAGGTTGCATCCAAGGCTCTACATGTGGACCCATGTTCTGGAATACTCTACTCGATCCATTATTGCAAACAACGGAGAACACACAAGCCCATGTACAAGCCTTTGCAGACGATATCTTGATTATCGCCAGTAACCAAGACGGACAAAAACTAGAGATAACCTTAAACCACACTCTTAAAATAATAACAGAATGGGGCAAAAAACATAAATTAAGATTTGCTCCCCATAAAACTCAGTCGGTGCTAATAACAAGGAAACAAAAATTTCATCGGCCTTTGCTAAAAATGGAAGAAGTAGAATTACAATACTTGGATCAACTGAAAGTTCTGGGCTTAACAATAGACCAAAATATAAATTTTAAGCCCCATCTGGATAATGTTTGTCGCAAGGCTATTAATATTTACAAAATGGTCTCAAGAGCAGCGAGGGCTAACTGGGGCCTGAACTCAGATATATTGAGAACAATCTACATGGCAGTCGTAGAACCAACCATATTGTATGCTGCCAGCTGCTGGGCCGAAACAACAAACAAAAAGTATATTGAACGCATACTCAACAGAATGACCCAGATTTTTGGTATACGAATTAGTAAAGGACATAAGACTAACTCCCTGATATCCAGTACACTCTTATCAAAAATAATACCGCTAGCACTAAGAGCCAAAGAGAACGCTAGTATATATGAAATTAAGAGAGGCAAACCTATAGAGCTTTTACCAGGAAGAGAAATCGAAACAAGAATAAGCCCCTATGATCTCCCACATCCTTGTGAAAGAATACAACGTAACTTCAAACACGTAAATAACCAGAAAGATATTGACGAGATAAAAAACGACTGGGTTAGAATCTTCACCGATGGAAGCAAGATCGACGGAAAAGTGGGAGCAGCAGTAACAGTTTGGCACAATGGACTCGAAATTAAAACAATAACTTTCAGACTGGAGAGCTACTGCAGTATTTACCAAGCGGAGATGATGGCAATACAAAGAGCGCTAAAATATATAATAAGCAAAAAATATCCAGGTGCAAATATAATTAGCGACTCTAGATCGGCAATTACCACTATCTGTGACCCAGTGTCTCTTAATCCAATAGCATCAGAAATACGAACAATGATCAAGACTTTAGAAGACAACCGAAAGCAAGTCGAGCTTTATTGGATTAAAGCACACTGCGGAATACAAGGTAACGAAAGAGCAGATGAACTTGCTAAGCAGGCAGCTATAAAAAATAAGCAAAGCCCGGCTTATGATAAATTCCCATTGTCGTATGCAAAGCGCCTCATCAGAAATACGACTCTGCAAATATGGCAAAGGAAGTACGAACAAGCAACAACCAGTAGTATAACGAAAAAGTTCTTTCCAAATATTGTTAAAGCCTATAAGATATTAAAAAGTATAAAAATGAATAACTTAGTTACACACTTGTTTACCGGTCATGGGGGAAACAAAGCCTATTTGTATAAGTATAAATTATCCTCATCCCCATGCTGCATATGCGATGAAAATGCAGACCAAACTATAGAGCACATTGTCATTGATTGCCCACGTTTTGGGAAAAGAAGATTCGAGACCGAGTGCAGCATGGGTGAGGAGATAGTAGCAGAAAACTTAAAATTTATTATAGAAGATGACTATTGCCGACCTATCTTTATGAAGTTTGCCCTTTTGGCATTAAAAAGCATAAGTAAAGAAAATGGTAGTAAAATTATAGATTAATTATTTAATAACTTATAGATAAAAACATACAATTTTACGAATGTATAAGAAAAAAGAGAAAAAAAAAAAACAGGTTGATTAAACTAAATAAATGTAACTATATACTTATAAATAGAAAAAACCCAAGAATATATATATGTATATGTGTGTGTGTATGTGTATATGTGTGTGTATGTGTGTGTATGTACATATATATATATATATATATGTGTATATGTATGTATATGTATGTGTGTGTGTATGTGTATGTATGTATATATATGAATAGAAAACGCAATGTAATAAATAGTTCGATAAGAAAGAAACCTGTAAATAACAGCACTATAGTAATATAAAATTAACAAGTACCGAATAATATATAAACATATAAATATTTAGCTTAGAAAACAAACGTAATTTAATAAGTAGTAATAAAAAGCAACAAAATTGTAACCAACATAGCATTATATTAGTCATATAGAAATAAGTAGAAAGAAATAGAATAATATATTAGATTATACAGTTAGTAATAAATAATAAAGTAGAAAATGAAATAAGTAGCCATTGTTAGAGTAAGACCTCACTAACATGAAGTAGTTATAAAGATATTGTAATTGTACATGCACATGTGCCGCACGTATATATATATATAAAAAAAAAAAAACAAAGCCCGGCAGTACGGAATTAAAAATAAAAAAAATAATAAAATAAAAAAAAATATACAAAATACAAAAAAAAAAAACAAAAAACAAATAAAAAATAATAAAAAAAAATAAAAAAAAGAGATATTAAATTATACAGCGAAAATATCACAGATAAAAGGGTACTGCAGAAAAGAAGTAGTAACAAAAGTATAAAAAAAAAAAAAAAACCTTTAATATTCTCTGAGGAAGCGGCCTGTATTGGACTGTAACTGCTACCGTCAGCTAAAATATAAGCCGGTTTCAGTCTGTCGATTGAGACATTCATTTCTTTTCCTTTGACCAGGAGCTTAAAAACCTTATCTCCTCTGGAGAGTACCTTGTGTGGACCTGAGTACGCAGGTTGCAAACTCGTACGCGCAGCGTCTTCTCTTAAGAAGACGTATTCAGTAGTTGCGAGATTCTTGTATACAAAAGTTTTTTCTTTTGTGTGGCGTGAAGCTGGGACAGGTTGCAAATGTTTACAAAATTATGCAACCTGGCTGTAAAATCGGTTATATCCGACATAACATTTATAGTGGGGTCAAAAAATTCACCAGGTAGCCTAAGTGGTTCTCCATACACGAGTTCGGCAGACGAAGACTGCAAGTCTTCCTTAAATGCACTACGAATGCCAAGGAGAACTAAAGGTAAAGATTCAGTCCAATGCTCATCTGCATGGCACATGATCGCTGCCTTGAGCTGCCTGTGGAAACGCTCTATTAAACCGTTGCATGCCGGATGGTAAGCTGTTGTTCTTTTATGCTGGAACCCATTTATCTTCGACAAATATTGAAACAAAGCGGATTCGAACTGTCGACCGCGATCTGTAACAATGTCTACAGGACAGCCATACCTTGCCATCCATCCGGACAGCAGGGCTTTGGCAACGGTTTCCGCAGTTATGTCTACGATCGGTACGACCTCTGGCCATCGTGTAAAGCGATCAACTGCAGTGAGGCAGTATCGAAAGCCTTGCGATGGTGGCAGAGGCCCCACAAGATCGATGTGGACGTGCTTGAACCTTGCACGAGGTAAGTTATACGTGCCTAAAGGCGCAGATACGTGTCGCGTCACTTTGGCACGTTGGCAAGCCAAGCAGGCACGTGACCACTCTCTGCAGTCTTTCCTGATGCTAGGCCACACAAAACGCTCTGCAACTAGTTTTGCTGTAGCGTTCGCGCCTGGATGGCTCAAAGAATGCAGACTTTCGAAAACTTGCTTGCGCAGCACTTTAGGGACAAATGGTCTGGGAGTCAGTATACTGACATCGCAGTACATACATGTTTTACTCCCAGGAATGTCATACTTCTCTAACCGAAGGGATGATCCACCTTTGAGAAGTTCAGCCAGTTCGAGATCTGATGCTTGAGCTTCGGCCAATGTACTGAGATTGACGGGCGCTTGCAGTTCCTCAACTCGAGATAAGGCATCGGCAACAACATTGTCTTTACCAGATATATGCCTTATGTCGGTTGTGAACTGCGAAATGTAGTCTAGATGTCTATACTGCCTAGGCGAACAGTTGCCTTTCCTCTCGCGGAAAGCAAAACTGATTGGCTTGTGGTCAGTATAGACAGTAAAATGTCTCGCCTCTAACATATGCCGAAAATACTTAATGGCCTCATAGATGGCGAGAAGCTCTCTATCATGTGGCGAATATTTTTGCTACGCAGAACTCATTTTGCGTGAGAAAAACGCAAGCGGTTGCCATGTGCAGTCTTTATACTGCTGCAATACCGCACCCAAAGCTATATCTGAGGCATCAGTAACAAGAGCGAGCTTGGAATGTGTGTCAGGGTGAGCTAGTAAAGCTGCTTCAGATAGGCTTAGCTTACAATCGTTAAAAGCTTTACCATTGTCTAGGTAACATCGCCAATGTTCTAACGCAGTTATTACAGCCAATGTTTCTCTTTCAGTAGTTGAGTAGTTCTGTTGATTTTTGTTTAGTGCTTTACTCATGTAAGCAATCACGACTTCTTTGTCATCTTGATGTTGAGTAAGCATTGCTCCTATGCCATAGTTTGATGCATCACAATGTACAGAGAAGGGTAGTTCGAAGTTAGGACAAGCAAGGACAGGAGCAGTTACCAAAGCTTCTTTAAGTTTCTGGAAAGCAGCTGCAGCTTGTGAATTCCAAAGAAATTTAGGAGCGTTCTTCCCGGAACAGGTTAGTTGATTGAGTGGAGAGGCAATAGTGCTAAAGTTTGGAATGAATCTTCTGAACCAGCTGCAGGTGCCTATGAATCTTCGCACTTCTTTTCTACAAGTAGGTACAGAATATTCTAATATAGCTTTTATTTTATCTGGATCAGCACGTAGACCGTACTCGTCCACTAGAAAACCAAGGTATTTCAGTTCTTTCCTGAAGAATTGACTCTTCTCAAAGTTAATAGTCAGATTAGCATATGAAAGTTTTTCATGAACTTTCATGAGGAGTGATATGTGTTCATCAAAAGTCTCGCTAATGATAACGATGTCGTCCAGATAGCAAAATACCTTGTTCTCAAATTCAGGGGTAAAAAGCATATCCATTAATCTTTGTAGAGTTGCAGGTGAGTTAGAAAGACCAAAAGGCATTACCTTAAATCTAAACATACCTCTTCCAGGTACATAAAATGCAGTTTTATCCTTATCGGCAGGATTCAAGGGAATCTCCCAAAATGCTTTCGCAATGTCGATGCTTGATAAGTATTTGGCATTCCTCAAGTTGTCCAAAATTTCGCTTATTAGTGGCAGACTATAAGCATCACGACGTGTAACTGAGTTAAGCTTCCTGCTGTCTACGCAGAAACGCCATTCACCATTCTTCTTCGGAGTGATGAGAACTGGAGATAACCAAGGACTTTCGCATTGTTCAATGACGTTCCATCGCAGCATCTTGTCAACTTCATTAATTAACGCCTTTTGTTTTTCAGGAGACAGTCTGTAACATCTTTGTTTGATTGGAAGAGAATCACCAGTGTCAATCTTGTGGGTGATTAAGTGTGTGCATCCCAGGATACCTTTTTCTTCAAAAGAAATTGTCTTGAAACGTTGGATGATGTCATTAGCGATGTTCTTTTGATTAGGAGTTAAATGCTCATAAGGTAAAACTTTAGTATCTTTAGTTTCGATAGCAGAACATTTAGATTCTGTAAAGTTAAGAGAAGATAAAACACTAGGTAAAAGATTAAATTTTCTCCAAAAGTCAATACCTAATATTAACGAAGGAAATATTTCAGGGAAAACGTAAGCTTTAATTAAATGAGTTTGATTATTGAAATGAATAGGTAAGTCAAAATAACCCAAGGAATTAACTTTTTGATTATTAGCAGTAGAGACAGTAATAAGATCTGACTTGAAAAGTTTGCAGCCCAGTTTAAGAATTTCCAAATGAGAATTATTACCCAGAATAGTTACTGAACTGCCAGAATCTAGTAAACCAGATAAAGTTAAGTTATAAATTTTGACATTAACGAATGGACGATTAAGATCTTGTTCCTTGGAGTAGAGTGTAGAAGAGATTCTGTAACAAGAAAAGAAGTTTTGAATTGTTTTAATCCAATTAGTCCAATCGTCGTTATCAAAGTTTAAGTTACTTTTCAAGTCAGTAGTTAGTTTTTTGAACTAGTATTAGGTTTGGGAGAACAAGTAGGGCAATCTGCAGTTTTAAAACCCTTAAGACCACATTTGAAACAAATCACGAATCGTGATTGAGTACAAGTGTTCAAAGAATGTCCTTGTTTACGACAGCGAACACAAAAGGAGGTTTGTTGAGGAGCTTTAGTTTGAGAGAGACTATTAACTTGTCTAGAAGGGTATTTGTAGGATGGAGTGAATTTATTCATGAGGGGAGGAGAGGGTCGTGAGTTATTAGAAGAATTTGGAGAGTCAACTGAACTTGAAGTGGAATGCTTGTAGTTGAATTCAGAAATAAGAGGACTTTGTTGTACATTTGGTTCTTTAAATTGTTTGTCTCTGTCTAGGAATTTTTCATAGTTTTGACAAGTAGCCAGAAGAGAGTCGATAGAGTCAATGTCTTTTAGAGCTACGAAGACTGAATAACATGGGCGAATATTCCTTAAAATAATCTCCAATTATTCTGTTTCAGAAAGTTTCTTCGAAAGACGAGAAAACATTCCAGACATGATGGAAATATAGATGACAATAGGTTCATCTCGACCTTGAGTTCGATTCCTAATCGCTTCTAAAAGTTTGTGATCATAATCAAAACCACCAAAGTCTTTGATTAATAACGAAGAAAGTTCGTTCCACGTTAAGTTTGGATTCTGATTATATTTAAATCTGAACCAATGAAGAGCATTGTCAGTGAAAATTTCAAACGCTTGTGAAATCAACAAGTCTTTGGACAAGCCACGAGCTATACAGTACTCTTCCAGTTTTTGAAGAAAGGATCTTGGACAGCTTTTACCATTGAAGGTGTGTCTTTTCAGATCTTTGAAGACGTTGGTTGGAGAAAAAGATTGAGGTGGTGGTGGAGGATACGGGGTATGGACCTGAATAGAATTTTGAGAAACAAGAGGGAGTTCCGTGACAGTCGGGTCAACCGTGACAGTCGGGTCAACAGGAGGGTCAAGTGATGGAGGGTCATTTTCAGTTGGAGCTGGAGTCAAGGATTCAAATTGTTTAGTAATATCGTCATATTTCATCTTCAAAGTATCGAAAATAGCTTTAAAGTCTGGATATAAGTCAGTATCTATTCGTTCCAATCTGTAAAAGATATGATTAATAAAAGTTTCTATTAGTCGCAAGTATTTGGTTTCGCCTTGTAAAAAGTTTTTAATTTTACAGTCCAAGTAGGTCAAGGTAGAATCAATTTGAGACAAGTCATCCTCAATCGGAATTGTAGAAGTCAGAATATCTTCAGGGTGAGAATTCGCAACTAAACGCAAAACCTGTTTTTTTAGAAGTAAAACAGTATTAGCTGGTTCCTCACATCTAATCTTCACTTCGTATTCGAGTTCGGCCTTGTTAAGGAATTCGTACTTAATAACCCTTTTCATTGTTATAATTATGTGTAAAGTTAAGTTTAAGAAATAAAAATTTAATTAAAAATTATACCTCTTTAAGTTATCTAGAATAAAAATATTAAAGTGATGGATGTAAGTAAGGTGTTAAATGTAGGTCTAAATATAATCTAGATAAGTTGAAAAACTAGATGAAGTTTTGTTCTAGAATAAAAATATTAAAGTGATGAATGTAAGTGAAGTGTTAAATGTAGGTCTAAATATAAGCCAGATACGTTGAAACACTAGATGAAGTGTTGTTTTAGAATTTGGAAGGTATGAAAAGGATGAATAAATAAAGAGTTAAGAACGAAAGGGAGAGCAATTAAATCAAAAGGGAATGGACAAGGCGCAGTAAAGGTGAAGAATTAAGAGAGAAAGAGGACTTTTACGTTGGGCGCCAAATGTCGTGAAGCGACAATTAAAAAAAAATAGAACCTAACCTAAGTACAACAAAACAACAAAAATACAACAAAAACAAAAATATATTCAAAATTCAAAGATATTTACAATTTTATAAAAAAAATGAAATGAGGATGATGATGAATGAAGTGAGAGTACCATTAGATTACAAAAAAAAAATATAAAGGTAGGAAAATAGGGGAATAAAGAGATGTAGTGGGGCCTAAAAGTCGAAGCGACACACGTTGCGATTGTAGAGGTAGGTTTCTTAGCAGCGACGACACGCAGCGCCTGAAGCCAGCACACGCCGGTTGCGCTTGTAGAGGTAAGTTTCTTAGTAGCGACGGCACGCAACGCCTGGAGCCAGCACACGCAGCGTCCGGAGCCGGCGCACGTAGCGCCTGGAGTAGGTGCGCTCAACGCTTAGAGCCAGCAGTTGCAGCGCCCAAAGGTAGCGCCGGCGGTAAGTGCACTCGGCGCCTGGAGTAAGTAGTCGTAGCGCCCGGAGTAGTGTGGCCCCCGCGCTTGTAGTAGTCTCGAAGCGACTTCCGAGGTAGATGGAGGCTTGTAGGAATCCGGAGTGGTGCGGCTCCGCGTTTGAAGAAGGCTTCGCCGAAGACTTCACGTGTAGGTGGAGGCTTGCAGGATCCCGGGGCAGTGCGGCCCCGGGATAAGGCCTTTAGGAGATACTTCCAATTCGCGAACTGAAGCGAGACCGCCTTTCTACACCGATTGTTCGGCTTTTATACCTTTCTAGAGAGAACGGAAAAATTATTTAAATTAAACGCAAATTTTTTGTAAATGGTCAAGAGAAAAAAGTATTTATGTGGAATTATCGAAATAGGAACAACAGATCGGTAGCAAATTTGAATATAATTACTATAGCAACGAAATAAATAACAATATCAAAACATGTCAAATTTTGGTTTTAGGTTTATAATAAGAAAACGGTAAGATTTAAGTGGAAAATGAGATATTATTGATATAGGAAAAAAGGTAGCGCAGCTGCCCACACAAAGCCCAAGATTGTAGAGTTACGGAAAACTAGCTAAAAGATCGAAAAAAGGTAGACTCCATTGACACCAATTTTAAAAGTGATGATAATGTGAAAATACGAAGTAGAAATGATTTGTTATTGTGTTCTTATGGTTTAAAATCGTTACAGGATCCTATGGAAATAAAGGTGATGTA